TTTTTTTTTGTCAACAGGCAAAGCAATTTTTCTGAAAAAAATTGTGATTCACAACGACAAACGACAACGGAGCTGCTGCCACGTCCCCGCGGAGTTTCGCCGACGAACATGTCCCAAGATCTCCAACAGGATTCCAGTCAGCAGAGCGGAACAAATGAGAATTCCTCCAGGAATTCGTATCTCTGCGATGCGTGTGGAAAATTTTTTGGCTACGAGTCCCAATTCGAGACGCACAAACGCATCCACACGGGGGAGAAGCCCTACCAGTGCTCCATGTGTCCGAAGGCCTTCATCCAAAAAGCTACCCTCACCTACCACTTGCGTACCCACACGGGGGAGAGGCCCTTCCAGTGCTCGATGTGCCCGAAAACGTTTGGCCAAAATTCCGGTCTCACTTACCACATGCGCACCCACACGGGCTACAAGCCCTTCCAGTGCACGGTGTGCTCGAAAATATTCAAACTCAAGGGTACTCTCATGAACCACATGCGCGTCCACACTGGGGAGAAGCCCTTCCAGTGTCCAGTGTGTCTGGAGTCATTCCGCCAGAAGTACCATGTCACGCTGCACATGCGAACCCACACGGGGGAGAAGCCCTACCAGTGCTCGGAGTGTTTGCAATGGTTCGGCCAAAAACACCATCTCACCCTGCACATGAGGACCCATACGGGGGAAAAGCCATTCCAGTGCCCATTTTGCCCGGAAAACTTTCGCCAGAAGTACCATCTTACGACCCACTTGCGCATCCACACGGGAGAAACGCCCTTCCGGTGTACGGTGTGCTCGCGAAATTTTCGATACAGATACAGTCTTGAAGGTCACATCCGAACTCATATGGTCAAAAAGTCCTTCTAATCCTCGGCACGTCCATCAACAGTTAGCCAAAATGTTATATTACGTACCCTAGGCCAGAAAGTCATCGCTCGTCTAAATGATTGCTGGCTGATCCAACTACGAGCCACTTTCTGGCCTAGGTGCATCTACGTTTTTTTATTTTTTATTTTTGACATACACGAGCTTAAAAGTTTACAATTGTGAGGTTAAGTTGAACAAGTAGAGAAAACACGTACTTTCAGCGGAGGTACACCACAAAAAAAGATAATCTTACGCTATAATTTCGATAAAAGAATCTCACGATCTACACGCAGTTCTGTACTGAGGTATATTGTGATTAACCAAAGGCATTCCATAATCTTGTAAGACATACAGGCCACAGCAAGCTTTGATCTCGTTAAAAATTGTCACGTGTACGCTCACGTGCTTTATTATTTTGATTTGAGCACATCCGAGTTGACAGGTCCCACAAAGTGATATTGTGTTTATTTTTTATTTTTTAGTTTTTCAATGGACTTACCAAATATGTATATGAATGTTATCAAAGTTCCAAGCCAATGAGTGCCAGTGAGTTGTTTTAACAGTATTGAGTACTGTTTAAATTTTTGTAATCACGAAATCCGATGTTGACTAGAAAATAATGTAATTCAATAATTTTTTTAATAAAAATTGTTTACCAGAAGAAAAAAAAATACTTCACTATCCAAGTACTGCACGTTATCCCTCTAACTTTGTATTTTATCTGTACACTACGATGACATGAATAAAAAATTATATTTTTCATCGAATTTTTTCATGACCAATACAAAAATTGTTACGTAGACTAAGAACTTCGCAAATATATTTTATGGTTTGTATAATTTAAAATATATGCTTAAAAAGTTATCATACTACATGAAAAATTTTCAAAAAGTGAAACACCAAGTGTGAAAAATAGTTGTGATTTGAAAAAATTCCGGTAAAAACCTTAGCAAGTAAGCTTTCTCACTTTTGTTAGTATTGATAAGAAATTAACTAATAAAACACCCTTTCACTTGCGTTGTTCATCTTTTATAGTAACATTCTAGTCTTTTACTGTTTATCAATGTAGGGTTTCAACCAAAGTGCACCATTCATTTCTAAGTCTCGTAATTTTGAGATACCAATTGCGTTGTAACTGCATTGGATTGAGGTTAGGTTATTGTCAACTGTAACTACTAATTCAATTAGATTATTTAGCCCATCTAACTCGAATATGGAACATTGACATGGCACTATCGAACGAGTAAACCCCTATATATATGGACACCCAAGACTCAATCTCTCTATAAAAATTTCAAAAACGTTACAAAAACCAGCAAAAAAAAAAACAAAAAACGAACCAAAGAAGTCATTTTCAAAAACCAACACAGAAAGACAGAAAAAAAAAACTATCGCTGAAATTTATCCCCAAATCACGTTTTATATAAAAACATATGGCATACTCTTATAAACAAAATAAAAACCGTACTGTCAATAACCATAGTAATTCACCACCGCGAAATAACAAATAACCTCGTATTCTCTCATTTCGATGTACAGAGCACTGCAAGTATCACAGCAGTTGATATTATAAATCTCGTACTTTTGACGTCTGTCCAAAAAGAATCCTATAAAAAAACGAGTTCAAACATCGCTCCCCTGTCCTGTTTTCGATTTTTACTCTTCTCAAACACACGTATGTATACGGACATACACACATCCCTCGCCTTCCTCTTCCCTTACCCTCTAAAACCAGCCACCGAAAGCAAAACTCGTTATAAACTTCCTGATTACAGCTCTCCCAGCCAACTTTTCCGCATTTTCCGAACAACAACGATGAAAAACAACAAAACGAAAAAAAAAAAAAAAAAAAAAAAAAAAAAAAAAAAAAAAAAAAAAAAAAAAAAAA